CCGGGCCGCAGGACAATGGCTTTGAGAGCAGGAGGATCGCGTCAGAGACCGCTTTGATCTCGGCGCGCTCCTCCCGTGCCCGCCTCTTGCCCCAATCCCGAAAGCGCTCCGCGACTCCGGCCTTCACCGTGTCCCAATCGCTACCGTCCAAGTTCTGGTCGCCAAGGAGTGAACCTATGAGGTAGGTCGCCACATCTTTTGTGGCGTCCTTATCTTTAAGGAGCCGTGGATTTAAACGCCACGGTCGCTTGCCCCATGGCACCAAACTAGAGTCGGCAAATCTCAGTGCAAGGAGGCTATGGTCACTCAATGCGGAAGAACACAGCCAGCTAGAGTGCATGCTAGGAGCAAGCGAGGGCGAGACATAAAAAGGATCGATCCTCGACCGGCTCCCCCTCCCCGTCCAAGTCATGCCTGACTGGAGAGGACGGAGGGACCGCCAAGCATCGACAAGCCCCAGCTCTTTGACAAGCTCCCGCAACTCTAGGTCGCCGTTTCGGCCTCTATACTTTGGAGTTCCTTAGAGGGAAACGCGATCCGCTTGTTCTAAAACACAGTTGAAATCGCCTACTAAAATGACACGGGAAGGGCCAACTAGATAAGAATCTAGGGAATTAAAGAAATCTTTCTGCTGTCCGTGCTGCGCTGGAGCATACACATTCACAATTCTAACGCCAGAGTCAAGATCCACTGACAGAACACGGCCGTCCGAATCCCTGGCGTAGCGTAGCACAGAACCGGTGAATCGTGGCATTAAAATGACAGCGACTCCCCGGCAATGTGTGCCACCATAATTCCAGTAGGATTTGGTGCCAAACGTTCTGTCAAAGTTCTTAATCTGTTGCAATCTAGACACAAAAGTTTCCTGCAAAAGGAGAATGTCTATTTTTCGAGACCGAGCTAAATGAATGACCTCAGCTTGTTTCGCTGCTCTAGTAATACCCCGACAATTAAAGGTAGCAATAGTGAGAGAAGAAGCCATGATGAAAGATAGGAGAGAAGACAGACTCTAGAATAGGCGAGAAGCGAAAAGATAATCACAGAAGAGAAGAAAACAGCAGATACTCGAAGGTATCAGCTGCTGAAAAGCTACCTAATATAAAACCTACGAACGAGAGTCCCCCTCGGAGAGGGAATCCTCGTTCGTGGACGAGTACACTGTGTTAGACATTAACGAACACTCGCAATTGCCTGGTCCACAGTTAGGGCAAGAAGAACTGTTGTTCAACTCACCCGTGGTACCGTCCGTGACAGTCGACGAGGTGGACTCCTCGTCGGACTCCGTCGCTGCGGCTCGCTTCGGAACCGGGAGGTCGTCCTTAGGGCTGCCGGGGCCGCCGCTCGGAGCCGCCGCCAGCCTCTCCTTGGAGGGCCCTGGTGATCGGTTGGCGCGCCGCTTCTTGCCCCGAACAGCGTCCGACCAGCTCATGGGTTCCTGTTTCTCCTCGGCAGCAGGCGCGTCAGCAGGGCTGGTCCCGGGCGCACCGGCAGGCGAGGCCGGCGACGGCTCGGCGGCAGCAGAGAGGGTGGGGGCCTCAGCTAATTCCGACCCCGCCTCCTGCTCTTCCCCTCCTGGAGCCCGTTCGCTAATGGGCTCCGGCTGTGGCTGGGTCGAGCCCTCGGCGTCCCCTGGAACAGCCTCCCGATCCTCCGCAACGCCGCTCACCTGCTCCTGGGAAGAAGAAGAGGCTACAGGCGGGGCGGCCGACGAAGTCGTCCGCGCCTTGCACTGTGAGGGGCCATGATCGCCGCCGCAGTGCTTGCATTTGACCGCGCACTGGTCGTGACCAAAAGCCCCACAGCGCACACACTGTGGCACAGTGCACTTCGCTGCGTGGTGTCCGGTTCTGTAGCAGCGCCGGCAAACCCGCGCGACACCCTCATACTCAAACTGGACGATGACGTCCCTCACCTCGAGGAGGTTGGGGACACTCTTGTGCATCTCCATTTTGACCACGAGGACGCCGCTCCAGACTCCCGGCAGATACGCTGATTCCTCTCGCGCAAAATCCAACACCTTTCCATACCTCGCCAACAGTTGTACTATGATGCGCACATCCGCGTCCGCCGGGAAGCCAATGACGCGCACCAACTTGACCCGAACACCTCGGTACTGAAACCTGATCCTCGCATCGCGAATGGCGAGGACTGGATCGTCGGAAAACCACCGACTCGCCTCGTCGTTCGCGAACGTCACCTCAAACTTCCCTAAGCCGTAATCCTGAACACACTTCAGCTCGCTGACCGTGAAGCGCTTCACGAGCTCCCTGCAAATGTCGGCACTGCCGACGCCCTTAGGCACGCGTGCGTAGTGCACCCGCGGCCTAATCTGCGAGAGCAGATTGGTAGTCATCGTGGTAGAACCACCACGAGGCTACCAAATCAGTTAGGAGCTAGCCTAACCTGAAAAAAAAAAGGTAGAAAGGGACAAAGAAACCTCACCAAAAACCTGCGAAAACCGACGAAAAACCTGTGCAGGAGTCCGCCGGGTCACCGCATGCGAACAGCGGGTCTCGTCCCACTCGAACCAACCAACACCTCCAACGACGCTGCTCAGAGAGGAAAGCTGCTGCCTTCTAAGATGAGAGCCGTGCTCGAGCGCGCGAAAAATGCTTCCTTCTCCTTTGACTTCTGCAACGAGAAGACGGAAGAAAAGTAGACTTGTATAGGTGATGACCGCGCCAATAGCGCCGTCTGGATTATGGCAGGAGTTGTAACTTGTAAATCAAAATGAAAAAAAAAAACTATACTTTATTTACAAGTAAAAAACGTTGGAACACCTACTACATAATTTTTTTACAAATAATAACTGAAATACTTTTTTAAAATTATAGCTGCGTAATAAATTAAAAACAGGCAAAGATTGCTGCGCAGCGCACGACTAGAGGTGTGCGCCGAAGGGTCGGCGCGCCGCCGCCAACAAGTTTTCTTCTACGTCGTTGTTGTGGACGCCAACCGATCGGCGCGCCGCCACCACCGCCAACGTGTATTTTCAAGAGTGGAAGCTTCGGCTAGTTGGTGCGTATTCATATTTGCAAGGTGTTTCAGCGCGCGAACAAAAAAAAAAGGACAGGGTAGACAGAAAGAGCGCTGACTTCCAACTAAATAAACAAAATAAAGTTATTTCGCAGAGTGGCAAGAATTTATACGTCTAAAAAGGAAGATTACAGAGCATGAATGTAAAAAACAAGCCCAATCTACACACCAGTAACAGCACGTGGGACAGGTCCTCTAATGCCTCAAAGCCCAGCCAGGTAATCGCGTTCAGCCTGGGATAAAGCAACCGATGAAGTGCTTACGCATTTATCTCCCAGCACGTGTATTTTTTCTGCTTCGATAATTTCTCGTGTAAGTTGCTCCCTGAGCCTTGCCAATATAGAGCACTGATCAAAGAGGGGGGTGCACCCACAATCTCGGCAATGAATGCCAAGATGCCCTTGTACCACATTGTGCACATTGTTTCGGTGTTCTCGCAGGCGGTCGTTTATGCACCTGCCGGTTTGGCCGACATAGACGCACCCACACGTCAGTGGAATTAAGTATACGACTCCCACTGCGCATGGGACGTAGCATGTCCTGTGCGCGACAGAGCACGCGGCAGAAGTTGCGCGAGGTGTATTTACCCGTTTGCAAAGCTTCTGCAATTTTTCAGGTGCTGAAAAAACAACAAGAACGTTGGCGTCTCGAGCAATCTTTTTTAGCCTATGTGAGACGTCGTGCACGTACGGTAGTACGACAGGCCGGTGTTTTTTACATTCATGCTCTGTAATCTTCCTTTTTAGACGTATAAATTCTTGCCACTCTGCGAAATAGAGTTAGTTGGAACTCAGCGCTCTTTCTGTCTACCCTGTCCTTTTTTCTTTTGTTCGCGCGCTGAAACACCTTGCAAATGTGTATTTTCAGCGCGCCATTCAAATAGGATTTTTTTTTTCAACTAACCTAGGTTCATTTTGCACCTTTTGTCACCAGTCTAGCCTTACTTCTGTCCACTTCGCAAACGCATCAAAATTGGTTCACCTGCCATTTCAAGTTAAATAAGTGGACTATATATATATATATATATATATATATATATATATATATATATAAACTTTAGGATACTGATCTCGGTCAGTGACAGCACCGATGGCGATGTTTGGCGAGGATGGTCGACATATTCTGGCTGACGAGAATTCTTAATATGCGAGGCGGGCTTAGAACAATGATGAAAGGTGTGCAAAGTCGGTACTGGAATATTCAAGATTATGACTGTGCAAGCGAGTCGAAGAACAAAGGCAGTTCAAATGTGAAGGGTGGGCCCCAGAATTGGGGAAGGACAGGGAGTATGGAAGATATTGTTATAACTGAGGAAGGGCTAGCTGGAAAGGAGACTTCTTCGTTCGCACGGTTCTCCACTCGTGAACAGGTCAGGCGCCACCGTCTGAGTTTAAGCCATTGTTGGCAGCACGCGTGCCATTGAGAATGACGCGGGGACGCGACCACTCGGCTGACCGAGACATAGTGGCGGCAGGGAGACGAGCATAACCTCCCCTGCTGTTCGTCATTACCGAGTGCTGTTAGGATGTCGGGGCGCCTCGCTGTAGCATGCACACCAGGTAAGCGCACGGAGCCCAACGGTGTACCCACCACTCCTAGGGAGGCTTGGAGAAAACTAATGGGGCTCGAGCGTGAGAACGGCTGCCGACGGAAGTCGGCCGACGGAATGAGAGGTTCTTTAATGAGGAAAGTGAAGAGAAAAGCGCGGAGCTGTTATTGTCCTTCAATACGAAGTCACCGGCACGACTCCGCGTGGGGGAAGCGGGAACGGGAGGAAAAGATTGGGGAGGAAAGTGCGCCACTTCATTTATATTTCTGGCCCTCTTGACCAGCACCTAGTGTGCAGCCCTTTTCAGGGCTTCAAGAATAAAGGAAAATGTAGTCCCCCCCCCCCCGTTTCCTTTTGTAATTTCTTTTTTTCTTTGTTCTCCACGATCTCTTGATCGAGATCGGCCATCAACACTATGCATGGCACCTCATGTAAAGCAGCTGGATTGAAGCAATCCCCCCGACAGACGGGCCCCAGCCCAGCTCTCGCCAGGGCACGGAAACTTCAGGCAGCCAAGGGCTCCCACACCACAGGCAAGGCTGGGAACCCCGCACCCACATCACGGCCACTCAACCGAGCCGCCCCAGTGCCTTCCGGCCGTACTGCAAAGAGTGGAGCAACACCAAGCAGCTCCAAGCCGGTAGACCCCACGACCACGTGCTCCAAAGCCGCCATGTTGTCGTCTTCCCGACAGGACGTCCATGAGAGCGAAGAAGGTAGCACCACCTTGTCATCAACCTCCTCTCCCTCGTCGTCCTCTTCGTGGGAGCACGAAACGCCACCCTCCTCCCCCAACACAGGAACAGAGAGCGAGAAGGAGGAAACTGCATCGCCTAAGCCGAAACGCTGGCAGCAACAGCAGCCCGCCGTAAGCGTGCGGTCTCAATACCGCGGAAGCTCAACCTCCTGGATGGATGGATGGATGGATGGATGTGGCTGTACCCTTTAGATCCTGGATGGATGGATGGATATGGCTGTACCCTTTAGATCGGGCGGTGGCTAGCGCCACCAAGCCGTAATATATAATGAATCAAAAACTATATTTATTTTTTCTTCCTTAAAAAAGAGTTTGAGGATTCGTACTTTGCAGTGAAGAGTTTAATTTTCACTCGCGCCTTGACTTTAGCCACCAATCAGACAACCTCCTTCTAGAGAAGTCTACCCGCTTAAAGTTTATTTTGCCCTCCCGGTCCCTAAACCCCAGTGCTTTGAAAAACTCTGCGCCATCATCCTGAACTATAGGGTGAAGCCCTTTACAGAACATTATCAAGTGTTCGGCAGTTTCTTCTTCCTCTCCACACGCACTGCATACTGTGTCTACACCTTCGTATTTGGCCCGATATGTCTTGGTTCGCAGTACTCCCGTTCTGGCCTCAAACAGTAGAGAACTACCCCGAGTATTATCATAGATCCTTTCCTTGGCAATTTCCTGCTTAAACGTTCGATAGACCTCTAGTGCGGACTTCTTAATCATGCCCATTCTCCACATGTCAGTCTCCGTTTCCTTCACTTTCTTCTTAACCGATAGTTCTTTTTGGTTTGGCCACCTGCTGTTTTCTAAGTATTTACCAGTCAACTTCCTGGTTCGCTTCCTCCATTTTGTATCGACATTCTTCATGTACAAGTAGCTGAAAACCTTCCTAGCCCAACACTCTTCCCCGATTTCTCTCAATCGCTTCTCAAATTTTATCTTGCTGCTAGCTTCCCTGCCCTCAAATGATGTCCATCCCATATCACCTTGTACTCCCTGATTTGGTGTATTCCCGTGAGCTCCTAAAGCAAGCCTACCTATTCCACGTTGCTTAATTTCTAATCTTGCTTGAACTTCTGATCTCATGCACAAGACCGCATTGCCGAACGTTAGCCCAGGAACCATGACCCCTTTCCATATTCCTCTCACAACATCATACCTATTGTAATTCCACAGTGCCCTAACCTTGCTTCCCCGTCAGGCGCCCCCTTCTGGCCAAATGCAGACATTGAGGTTGGACGTCACGAATGGCGTCGAAATAGACCGGGAATACTTCGAATCGCTCAGGAGGTGACGGAAGCCCAAGGAGGATATCCTCCTTGCGGAAGCCCCGGCATCTGCTGACTCAGCTTCTCCAGAGAACAGGGAAGCCCCTGCTGTCGTACTCTCGACCCACTACGATGACGTCAGGGGAGAAAGCCAGGAAACCAGCAGCCACAGCCACGCAAGCGAGGCAGGCCCAAGGAGGATACATAAAACTTGATGTATCCTCCTTGGGCAGGCCGCGCGCCGGAACTCGCTTGCTGGATTTCGGGCCGACCGGTCGTGCGCTTCCCCCCAAACAACCCTGGGGGGAGGTGGTACCGGGACAGACGTAGGATGATGATGGGTTGATGAGTTAAGTGTGACTCTGGGACAAAGCGTTTCGGCGCCGCGTCTCCTTCCTATCTGACAACGGTACCGGTCGTGCGCTCGCGCGCTCCGCGCGCTTGCGATCTCCCGCGTCATCGTGGCTCTGGCCGACTGGGCTCGCCCTACGTCATCTCCTGCCGCCGACGACCTTCCACCTCCGACGACAGTGCAGCTCTGACTTACTGGACTTGTTCTACGCCATCCACCGACGCCGAAAGGAGCTCTCGCAGGTGCGCCCCGTCCTCGGACTCCAGTGACCGTGCTCCATCTTTCCTATCTCTTCTATCCCCTCGGTTTGTCCTCGCTCGCTGTGGCTTACCACCACACGTCTCTTCTTCTCTTCTCCTTCTTCGGCTTTCCCACATCTTTACTCCTATCCTTTTTATCCCTCCTCACCCCCATCCCTCGTGAGCTACTGTGGCGGTGTCGCTCATTGAAGCAGACAATAACGGGGCTCGCTTTTCTCTTCTTTTCTCTTTTTAATAGCCACTCCGCAGGCCGCGCGCCAGCCGCTCCGAGTGTTTCCCTTGCCCAGGAGCAAGCCCCCTCTCTCAGCAGAACCAGTTTCCCTGCCGTCCTCCCTTCGGCCACTCCGAGTGACGTAGCCGAGGAGCAACATGCTGGGCAAGAAGGCCCTTTCCTCCTCCCTCGCTCGGAGGGGAGCAGCAGGGGTGCGTCGTCTGTGCAAACAGCTGGAGTGTCCTCCCCCCAGGCGGGCTCTACAAGCTTTCCTCCTGTTCCCACCACAGAGGCGCCCGGCAACGTAACACTCTGCGCGCCTATCCACCCCTCCCTGCCAAAGTCAAGGGGAAATAAGGGAAATCGACAAAAAAGCAGGAAACAGCACCACGCCCGGTTTCCTCTCAGGTGGTAGCGGAGATCAACGCCCCTATTAGGCAAACACCACCGGAGCCCACCTTTGACCCCATCGGCCGGACGATCATTTTTAGACCGCTCGGCCGTAAATCACACTTTCTGGCTGCATCAAGGGACGCAATCGCTGCTTTCCTCGCCGGTTTCCCAGCCACACAAGGGGTGCGGGTTAATCATCGCCGCAACCTCGTCGCTGTCGACACCACCCCCAACTCCGACGCCAGTGCTCGACCTCAACTCGTGTGTTGGGGAGGTGTTTGGGGTGGACGAAAACATTCCCCTCGACATCATTGCCGTGAACATTTCTTCATCGGTAAAGACTCTTTTGTGTGCGCGGCGCGGCTCCACACTGGTGATTACTTTTGAAGGAACCGTGGTGCCAGCTGAGCTCTCGCTCTTTAAACAACGGAGGACCGGATCGGGCGCGCCTCCCTCGACCACTACAGTGTGCGCGTTGCGGTGTGTTTGGGCACGCCACAGCAACGTGCTCGCGCGACAGGCGCTGCCTCCGTTGCGGCGCGAACCACGCGGAGGGTCCCTGCACCTCAGAAAGACCCCGCTGTATTATTTGCAAGGGATCTCACCCGGCGAACGAACCTCGGTGCAAGTCTTGGCAGCTGCAGCGAAAGGCCGCCTTTCTCCTCGCCTCCTCTGGCGGTAAACTGACGCGCCGTGAAGCCATCCAGCAAGCAAAAGCTTCGCTTCAACGGGAAGCGTCAGCGACAGCGACGGCTACCACACACTCTGGCTGCTCTTTCCGCGATGCCCTAAAGGGCAATGCCACCACAGCACCGGCACCAGCGGCCACACAGCCTACACGTCCCCCCCCCCCTCCCCAAAAGGACGCAAGGGATACGGTGATGACGGCACTGGCCGCGGCTCTTCACGCATTTCTGGAGATGACGGTGTGCAACACGACGACGCGCGACTATTGCCTCGCAGCTTTGCACGCACATCAAGCTCTCACACACCATGGCTAGTGCGTCGAAGAAGCCGCGGCCGCGGATTTTCCAGTGGAACGTGCGTTCCCTCCGCCGCCGTATCCCTGAGCTCGCCCGCTCACTGCCCCAGCGCGACCTCGATGTCCTAGCACTGCAAGAGACGCCAGTTCGTGATGGGGCCCTCAACCTACCAGGGTATGTGGGCGTACCACGGTGCAACGAGCTGCAGGAACAGCGCGTGCCTAAGCGCGCACTGCAACAACCCGGCGCACCCACAGGGCCTGGCAAGGGCTTCTCTCTATGTGCGCGCGCGCCTTCCCCAAGTGCATCACAACATATCGGACATCGTCGGTGCGGGCGTCGAGTGTGTGGCAGTGAGGGTGCGTGTTGGCACGACAGACGCATGTGTCGCGAGCGTCTATGTTCACTCGTCGCGCGAGTGGGACGCCGACTTTATTGTGCGGCTCGCCGATCGCCTCGGAAGTGCTTGTGTGTTGTGTGGGGATTTCAACTCCCATCACACGGCGTGGGGGTGCGCGAGTGCTAACGCCGATGGCCGTGCCTTAATGGATGCCGCCCTGCGCGCTGGCCTACACATCATCAACGATGGCAGCCACACATTCGTGCGCCCCGGTGCTAAGCGCAGTGCACTTGACTTCACCTTAGTCACCGACGACTGCTACTATTCGTGGCGTCGCGCGCCGGACACTGAGGGCTCGGATCACTATCCGATCCTCTTGGAGCCCTTTTATACCGGCGCTCCGCGCACCAATGTGTACAGTGTTGTGAACTGGCCCCATTTCCGTGAACTGTGTGCTGCAGTACCAGTCGCGGGCGACTTTTTCCAACACATTGTGCAGTGCGCGAGTGCCGCCACGACGGTGTGTCGAGTGCCGACGGGCACGCCCGTGCCCGACATTAAGCTCCTCAACCTTCGCGCAGCTCGCCTCCGGGCGCAGCGCAAAGCAGAACGTTCGGACAAGGCAGAGGACTGGACTGTTTACAACCGCATCGACGCGGCCTGTCGACGCCACGCCCATAAACAACGGGATCGCAGCTGCTCCAGCCTCTGCCACACGTTCGACGACCCGCGCTACCAACGGCGTGCCTGGCGCGTGTTCCGAGCCCTCTTCCGCCCCTGTGTGCCCCGGCATCCGGAGCTCTCCATCGCGGTCACGCTTGGAATCGGCACCGCGCAGCTTGCCGAATTGCTGGCTGACACTTTCGCGAGTGCGCCCACTGCCAGTACAGCTGCTCCCGTGCCCATGCTGCCGCCACATGCGCGGCCCGAACTCTTTGCGCCCTTTCGCTTATTCCCCACACCAGCCATCGTGGAAGCGATCGGCGAGCTGTGCACAGCCGACTTCAGTATCCAGAAGCTTCGCGATTGGCTCGACTCTCGGGGGTGCCGCTCGACGCCAGGGGGTGATGGCGTCACGTATCAGATGCTCCGAAACTTGGATGCCAGCCAGTTTCGGAACCTGCTTGATGCTTACAACGTCATCTGGTGCACGGGGGCGCTACCAGCCTCGTGGGGAGAAGCCTTAGTAATTCCCATCCACAAGAAGGGGGAGCTGGAGTCCGCTTCATCATATTGTAGCGATGCTGAGGCAGACAGGCCGGTTTCGCTCACTTCAACCGTGGGGAAAACATTAGAAGCTCTGGCGCCTTCAATGGATCGCTTCTGCTCTTGATTTCCTCGCGGCTGAACAGTCCGGTTTCAGAGCACATCGAGCGACAGCGGGCTCGATCTCGGACGTCGTGAGCCTTCTTGAGGAAGCCAAGCATCGTGGGGATACGGGATACCTCGTGCTTTTCGACGTCAAGAGTGCGTTTGACTCGCTCCCACACAACACCATCCTCGACGCCCTTCGTGAGATGCGTGTGTGCGGTAACATGCTCCTATACGTCGAGGCTTCCTCAGTGGCCGGTCTTTTCGTGTGCGCGTCGCCGGCGAACTCGGTGGTCCTCGGGTGGTGTCAGCGGGTGTGGCACAGGGCAGTGTGTTGAGCCCTTTTCTCTTCAATGCAGCTCGCACACGCATCGACCACATCCCACGAGACACTGCTTACGAGGTGCGTGCTGCGGTTTACGCGGATGACATCGCGCTCTTCTCCAGTGGCCCCACCCTTCGTGGTCAACAATTCCGCGAGGGACTCCAAGCTGCCATTGATGCAGTGGACGGTTTCGTCACAGGCATCGGTCTCCAGCTCTCAGCCGCCAAGACGGAGGCCATGCGCGTCCACCCGGAGCGCACGAGGTGCTTCGTCGGTGCGCAGCTCGTCCTTTGCGGCCACCGGCTGCCGTGGAAGCACAAAGTGCGCTATCTTGGTCTTACAATCGACCACCGGCTTAGCTGGAGGCCCGCACTGGCGTCCATACGCAGCGACACACGGAGGAATGGCGGCATCGCCTCCCGCATCCTTGCCAATGGCAGGGGCTGCTCCCCGGACATCGCGCGGCGTTTCTTCAACGCGGTAGCGTCGGCCAGGGTTCCGCTCGTCGCGCTACGACCCGCGCAATGGGACGCGCTGGACACCCTCCACCGTGGCTTCGTACGCCGCCTGTATGGCCTGTCGCCGATCGGCCCCACCCTGGCGGAGGCTGGCGAGACGTCCCTCTCACTTCGGGCGAGAGGCAGTGCGTTGCGCCACATACACCGCATGTACCTCACGTCCGAGGGACGACGCCTGGCTGGACGACTCCTTGATCGTCCCCACTCGGGCACGGGTCAGCGCGCTTTGGAATACGCTGCGCTCGTGCCTGACCCGCCTGCGGCTCGATCCCGATCCCGCCGCACCAGGATCCCGGCCTCGAGATCAAGGCCACCATCCCCGGCAACAGATCT